AGTAGCAAGTGAATGTATCTAACTTTTCACAAGGGGACTACTCGACTGGATGACCCATCTCTCGCCTGATACGGAGGCTCTAAGTTGGTGTTCAGTCCATGTCATGCCATAACACAGTCGTAGGTGGTACACGTATTTGACGACCAATGCCCTCCCATTATCACTAAATTCCATTTCAATCGTGACAACAGATATTGGCTAAAATGGCTATAAATAGACCGGTTTTAAGTTCCTTAACACTCTTCTTTCTTTAAAGTTATGTTCGCCCCCGTGAATGAAGGCTATGCGATATGTGTGGTAACTTTTCGTCCCAACCGATTCAGCGCTTAAATTTTATTCAGGAAGTCATTGTACTTTTCCACATAATAGCTTATTTTTATGCATCATTTCTGTGAACGAGATCGACCAAGCAGCGCATTCTGTTAAAAATAGCTGGGCATTTTTCATTCCTACTAAGTCTTATAGCTTTCGCAGGCACGCCTTCGAAATTTAACAAGGCGAAGTTTCAAGATTTCACTTCCGTCGATTTCCTGTTCTTCTGCGACGAACTTGCGAGTGTCAGTAAGGTCAGTAGGCTGATCTGGATTTGTGACCAAATGCGTATTTAAATTTATACAAGAAGATTAATGTTATGAATAAATACGTGTTACACAGGTTAAGATATTATTGTATCTACCAAAACTATGTGTCTATTTAACATTATCTTTATTTAGCATTATCATTTATCCAGTTTAGATTATTTAAGCACGCCAAATTAAAATCTAAATATCCTCCTCATTCAGAGTTAGTTCGGCAGCAATGCAGAAAAATAATTAAAAATACCTATATCTTATTCACTAATTTTTGGTATACGGCACAACAGGTAAAAGTCCAAACACGAGAGATCCAGGGATCTTGATAGTCAGGCTTTGAGACCACCTCGACCAATCCATCGCCATGGAAATTTCGTAGTTCGTATAACCAGCCATTCTCTCGCCAATTCACGTTGGGAAATGCCAATGGGTGCGAGGGACGACTCTTTTTACTTCCTTGTACGATGTAAAAAGGAAGTATTGTAATCGCGAAAAATTTCGGGTATCATATCTCAACGAAAATATCCATTTTGACGGCTATCGAATGCAATTTCAAAATGTTTTTGCGTGACATCTGCACATAAGAGCAGAGTAAAAAACTCTTTTCCACGAAAAAAATTAAAAAATTTACTTAAAACGAATTCTAAAGAGAAATTTCCCTGGCGTCTGTGCGTACGTACGTATTTCGCATAACTCAAAAACGAGTAGCCTATGAACGTTGACATTTTGTATGTAAGACTGCTATAACATGTAGATGTGCACCTCGTATTTTGGTTGCAATCGGCCGCACCAAAGGTATATAAATATATATGTGTGTGTATATATATATATATATATATCTATGTTATTCGGCTCAGTGATCTCAGTTTCTTTATTCTTATATGTTTGTAAATTGTTAATTTTTTTTGCTTTGAAAATGATTGAATTATGTTGTTCATATCATCCGATTAAGGTTTTTATGCCGTTAGTAAATCTGCAGTGCGGCTGAGCCTGAGTATTTTCACCATGGCGGCTATGTTTGTTTACATTTGAAACTTAGCAGAATAGAGGATTTGTTGCCAATCTAGAGAAACTAAGCTTCGCAACAAGAAAGATAACGCCTTCATTTATAATTGCGAATTAAATCATGCTTAATTCATTCTGAAATTTATTCGAGGAAATAAGTCTGTAAGGTTTATTTCGTAGTTTTTAATATAGATATTTTGTGTTTTTATGTATTTTTGCCTTGTCGAGAAGGGAGAACACTGAATTAATTGAATGAGAAATATTAAATCGTCTGCGAAAAACTGTTTTTTTTTTTTTTTTTTTTTTTTTTTTTTTTGTTGTTGTTGTTTATTTAATTTCTTTTATACATCGTTTTAGATTTATTATAGTATTTGAATAGAACATGTGGCAACGATTATATAATTTTTCAGATGATAAGTTTTGTGCATTCTGACTTACAAAATGAATGAAATGTAACGCTGTCAATTGAACCTAGCGCCAGAGTGTCACTATGTTAAACAAACATTGTGAATTTTAAAGAGTGCTTTTATTCTGTTGTGGTTTATGCGCTATCGTATAAGTCGATTTAATTCAACCCAATACGTTTAAATGAAATGCAAGAAAAAATGCGTATAATTTACTATTCCATACAAGGAAGTCATGTGGTGTACACATCAGATTTTTTATACCATTTACAGTGCCACCTAGTGGTTCGCCGTTTGCGTTCCACCCTAAACTTTCTATGACAAATATTGCTTTTATAGCTGCTTTATATCACCCCGTAAAGTTTTGTCCACTTTTTCAGATTCACCCTTATCAGTCACCCAGATCACTTGATGTTCTGGTGCAACTTGTTAAAAATAGGAATGTTGTCGAATTGCAAATGCATATTTAATTTTTTGTTGAATTAAATAATTCAGAGGGTAAAAAGTATCATACATATTTTAAAATGATTTAATTAGATGAATTTAAGGGATATGATTATTGACTAATAATATATCCATATTTATTGCCGTCGATAAGCAGGTCAGAAATATTTATCTCAATTAACTCACTGAATTTCCATTACATATCAATATATATCAGATCACTCCACTTGGCAAAACTTAACGCAGCTAACAAACGTTTATAGAGAAAAGTAGTTATATTTCTTTGGTACAAGTTTGTTTATTCCTTAGATCTAGCTTAGGTACAACAAGTCCTCGTTTCAAAAACACAGTAATCATATTGCCAAGTTATGTTCATTATTCACTTATAGTTCATGGAAGAAATTTATGGCTTTTTGTATGTAAAACTATTGGTATTTACTTCCTTTTTGCTTTTCTTTCTTGGCAGTGTGCTTATAAAAATACAAAAAAAAAAAATGTGATTTCTCAATTAAAATCAATTCTAAACAGCCCATCATGCACTGAAGATGGAATTTATTTAATAAGTTAAACAGTTATCCTTTCTATTTTATTTATACTTGAAATTTGCTGTCGAGGAAAAAATCTCTGAAATCTTATTAGCCCAGAAGGGCTATTAATTTCGATTTGGCATTTTGCGTCGATTAACTATAAACGGCAAATCACTTTTCAAATTGTTGCCACAAAATATTATCGCCCTGTGTTACATTTAAAGGAATTAAATAATGGAAGGATCTGCATAAAAGTATATGTTTCTCGCATTGTGATAAAACAACGGTACAGCGATCAAATTTTGAATACGTAATCTTCCACCGAATATGGGCATCTGGAAGCCCTAATTTGGAATTTGTTTTATTATTGATTTCGTATTTTGTAATACTTAACCGAATTTTTTATTAACAAACTAAATGATTTCGAAGCGAGCGATGGCAACATTGTATGGATAAAAGTAAACGAAACTGTGTTTCGAAAATTCTAAAGATATGCTCATTTTTAAATTACTTTACGATATTGCTGTTGAATTGAATTTTATGCTTTATGTGCGAAGAACATGATATTTAATAAATAAAGGTAACGCACATAACGTTAAAAAAACGCCCTTCTGGTCGTAATGTAAAATCCGAAAGTTCAGATTTTTTTTAAATTTTATTATTATTATTTTAGGATACTTACACCCATAAAAAATTAAACACATACACACTATGTGCTGAAAAAAAATTAAAATTTATCTGAACATTTATATATTAAACCTATCTTATAAAACATGAGTCCAGTTAATTAAAGCAGCCTAAGATAAAATACTGGTATACAGCCTAAGATAAAATACTGCCTTTAATGTCTATGTTTTGTCTCTATTTCTAATTTGTAAAAACAAAAAAATGTACGTAAAATATGCATATGAAGAACACATTGATTAGTTTTTAGCTCTAATTTGCAAAATACATTTTCTCATATGTATAAAGTGTGTCAATTGGAAATTCATAAAAAATGCAAAATGATGACTAAAACATGAACTGTTTGGTAAACAGAAATAACTGTTTTGTAAGGGCATCCCAAAATATTTCTGGCACCATGTAAAAAGGAATAAAGGTTTCTGATCTAAAATGCGTTCCATCTGTATTGCTGGATGTTTCTCCGATTTTCTTTTCACAGTTAAAGATATCACAACTTATTTTCTTTCACTTTCAATTATAAAATTAGTTTTTATCTTAGCTTTTTAAGAAGGAAACAAACTTAGTAAAATTTTGTCTTTCATTAACTGAAATAAAATATTTTATTCTTTTTACTGACGGATCTTTGTTAAAAAAAACTCATTTTAAATGACTAAAACTAATTATTCAGCCTGCATTCTCATAAATGCATATTTTGCTTGCAGTAAAAATGGCAACACAATTAGCCAGATTTCCAGGTTATTCGGGTAATTTATACCTTAAGCCTAATTAGAGCTGGGTTTCGCTTCACGAAAAAAGAAAGTTTGGTTCTTTAAGTCAGATTGAATTCTACATATCAGTGGTGACTGAAAGAAGAATGTGTATTGATTTCAGATAAAAAATAAATGTACCATTCACATTTTTACGACGACATATCTCGTTTTGAAATTCTTTCCTTTCCACATCACTTATTAAACGTATAAAAAAATCCTACTGGAAAATGGCCAAGCTTCTTTCTCCGTTGAACCGCACATAAATATTAATGCGACATGTGATCACCTCTCCTGATGTCTTTTACTTATTGACATCATCATAAATGATAAAACTGATAGTCGAAACAAAGATGTTGCCTAGTATGTTGGTAGAGTATGAATGACTGTGGATAAGACAGATAAAAGAAATGAAATCGTCCAAGTACGCGATTTGATTTTCAAAAGTATGAGTTGCAAATATCAAATGAGCTTATCCTAATAACGACAATATTTACACTGCAGTTTTATCGTCATGTTTAGAACCATCACTTTTCGTTTCTCTTAAGAAACTGAGACTTAAAATTTAAAGTTTTTTTTTTCATGTTTAATAAAGTTAAAAATTATATTATCTTTCAGGAATCTGGTGAACCATGCACGTCGCCTCAGTCTGACAGTCCTGAAAGTCCAAGGTATAATTCTACACCTTCTGGATCAACAGGATCTTGCCTAAGTGTTTACCACGAAAAAACATCCATACGATCTCTTGCAGGAGGTAAGCGTTAGACTATCTTCATTTTATGGATTTTAATATCAAAATGAGATCAGTTGCCCATATTATCATAACATAAATGTAAGGGGAAATTTTCTCTTTGGCTAAAGCCAAAAGACTGTGGTAGTTCGCAGACAATAAGGCGATTCCAGGAATTGGTTAGTTTCCAGGAAGTTTCAAATTTATGTTACGTGTAATTTAAATAGGAAGGATATGGAGATGGTTTGGATATTTGTAACTATGAAAAGGTCTGCCAAGTATCTGGGCACTTAAAATCTGGCGTGCCAAAAGTTCTCTCGAGAGGTTTGGTGGTGAAGAAGGGAGATGGGAATCGCTTTCATCTGCCCCTTCCTCATATCTCCATCGAAATAATGACGAAACTACACCGGTAAAATCATTGGTTGAAATCCTGATGTCCCTTTTTCCTGTCTTGTCCTGCTTTGGACTGATGTTCCATCTTTTAAATTTATGTTTCTTGCAAACTGCCACTGATAAAAACTTAATTCTTTTATTTAAGTCATTCTACTATACAAACACAAAGTTTTCAACATCTTCAATACTTTTTCTTTGGATTTACTCAGAATATGAATATCCAGCAATCACAAATAGCGATATGAAAAATTTTCTTGCCTTTGCTATTTGTTATTTGTACGAATCCAAATTTTCTACAGTAAAATTAATAAAATGTGAATGAAAAAAGGCATGTTAAAGATACAATATGCGTTAGTCTCTCAATTATGGACTGCATATTGACAACCTATGTGAAAGAAATCAAGTTCACACTATATGAAGAATAATTTTTATAATACAGCTAATCAAGCGTAACAGTTCAAAATTGATTTGTTGCAAGCTCATATATCCATATGAAACGGATTACAGATCACTGTACGATGGTAAGCACGATGCTTATGGTACTCCAAGCTAATTTTATTCTTGTTTATATGGAATTTTCGTCTGTAGATTATTATACCGTTTCCGGAAATCTTTTCAGACATTTAATCATTTCAATTAAAAATAAAATCCTTTTTTTTTAACAGGCATTTAAAGAGAAGGTTATCAGGCATTTCTTTTCATTCCACTGACAATTTTTCTTGATTTTTGGTGTTGGTTTCATTTGATTTGATTTGATTTATATAACTACAGCAAAGCACACGAGCGCTATCTGCCTAAAAGAATAGATGCCTTGTGGAGGAAGTTTTAAGGAAAACTAGTTCGTTAATGCTTTACACATAAAGAAAAACACAAAAAGGGCCATGCAGCCAGCGACTTTTCCGAGATTCAAAACATGGTCGAAATATCAGTGCTCAGCGACTTTATTGCCCCCAGGTGGGTCTTTTGATGTTGGCTTTTGGAATAAAAACAAATTTCTGTAAATATAAAGTGTATAGTAGGGCAAAATTCTTACTGAACTTCTGTGTCTTTATCTATCCTTATATAAAGACCCAGTTATCCTTAAAGTAGTCAAATACTGTGATTAAGTATTAATTAATTAGCGACCTTTTGTATTCGGAAAATATCATTAAATCTCGATGTTATTTATTGTCATGAATATATTCGATCATACTGCTGTCACAAATTTATAAATAAATGAAGTATCAATAAAAAAGATGCTTCCTTTTTAACTGTTTCTGTTAGTAAAACTGAAGTTTTACACAAAATAAATTATATTTATTTCTTCGATACAGAAACACGAAATATGCCTCTAATTATATTTTAATACGATTTTGTTTATTGTCAGTTAGTATAATTTTCTGCAGTCTTTATCATTATTAACTGATAGTGTTAGAGAATTTGATGACGGTTAGAACAAACAGAAAAATAAATTGAAAGATCTACAGTTTTATTGAAATCTTCTGAATATGCAGATATGCAGTAAGTTTGTAAACTTACAAGATATTATAATATTCCCCTATGCATGCTTTTGTGGTGCTGGCGGTTAGTAGTATATCTAGTTATCAACTAGAAGATGCATGAGTCGAATCCCAGCGATGTCACTGTTCATCCTCTTCATCTTTCTCCTAAAATCCTAAAAGTCATTTGAACTAAAAATAAAGTAATAGTTAACTCATAACCCTTTGGATTCTCTACTGTGACAAGCCTCCAAGATTCTTTCTGGTTGCCATTAAGTAAAGCAGAATGTAAAAAGCGATCTTAAAAATTATTTCAACCCTCCTATTTAAATAGTATGTAAACAGTTTGTGATGTAAGCAGCTGACATGTCCAACTAGTAAATGAATGATATATTGACTCAAATCCTGGCAAAATCATAAATGATTTTTCACTTTCTAATTCTCAAAAGTCTCTACAGTTAGGAAAACATAATACGAGAGAATAATAAAATAATATCAAAATTGCAGTTTTTATCCATGTTTTAGTTTGCTTGTTTTCAGTTTATTACGTGGTGGAGTTAATAATGCATGCTTTATGAAAACATTTACGGTTAATAAACTTTATGTTTTATAGTGGATAAAGTAAGGTTTTTTATATTTAAGATTCTTATTTTAGTGGTCATTTTACGCTTCAAATTAATATTTTCTTCCCGCATTTTTAAAACTAATTTCTCGTAAGCTAAACGCAATCAACTTCTCACATTCTTTTCCATTCAGAATTAAATATTCGGCCACCTTCACCAAGTGTGCAATTCTACGCACTCCTCATTATCATGCTTTCGTAATAGAAATTCGGCTTCTAATACCCTTCCTGAACGTTTCCTGTTTCCTCGAAAAATAAAAAAAATGGAAATAATGAAGCCTTTAATGCCAGCACGAAATCAATACACGCTTCACAAGTAATACATACTAGAGAAAATGAAGCAACAAAATCCACAACTTTCATGAAACTCGTACTTCCCTTAATTATAATAATTCCATTCCTAGTTAAAACGTTCTTTCATGTAGGGGTGCAAAGTGCTTGCTCACTTATCGGGATTAACATTAAGGTCCCGTTGCCACCTCATAATGGCTACTCCTTTTTAAAACGGAGGCAGTCCATTAAAGTTTCAGATCCCAGAGAGCTAAAAATAGCATTTTTGCGTGTAATCATCCAACTCTCGGCCTCTTATTAAAGGCGTTTGATTCGCATTTTTCGGCAAATCCGTTTTGGGGTTGGGTGTGAAACTGCACAGCAGAGGCATTCGATTTTAATGGGCATGTAAATGACCCGGCTGATTACGTAAATCATTCAGTTGTTTCTGATGCGGCATTAACGGGCGACGTAAATGAGCCCGAAATGAGTTTATTGGGGGAAAATAGTGATTTCTCGCCGATTTGGAATTTATTGGATTTTGATTAAATTCCTTTCTGAGTTGGAACTAGAGCGGCTGCTGCATTTTTCATTCGTGTTGGTATCTGGAAAGTTTCAATGCCTAGAAACGATTCTTTGTTATTGGATTCATAGGCAAATGCATCAGACAATGAGATGAATTAAATTATTTTTAATTGTGAACAGTGCGACATAACTTAATACAAAACATCCAAATGTAAAATATCGTTTGAAGTTTTATTCTAACATTAGAAACATTTATATTCTCAACACTTCTTTGTCAGTGTTAAATAACATTACAAAGGCATTTATCATCTATGTGGCCTGAAAAATTTTCATTCATTATTCACGCGTCCTGAGAAAACTGAAGAGCCTCAGAGGTGTTGCCATTCGATGTATCATATTTTAATTAATCTTTTAAATTGAATTGTATATTACTGAAATAAATGCATGAATTAAAAACCGTTTATATAACACTTGGTAATATATATATTCGCTTTATTTTTTAATTACATTGTAAAGTCACTACGTTTTTTTTTGAAGCAAGAGACGCGAAAAATATCAGGTGTTCTCGCCGGGACTCGAAATTGGAATTCTCGAATATGTGCGCGTGTGCTACCATTACACCACAAAGACATGCAGGACGGAAGCAGAAAATACCTTATATACTTCCTCTTTTAAGGGACTCATACACCTTAATACCCATAAGAACTTTGAATAGGTGATTGTTGCAAAAATTGAGATAATTTATTTATTTTAAAAGCAATTACTTCCAACTTTTTACAGCTGACTACATAATATAGCTTTTTTTTGGAATAGTAATCAGAACGTTTGTGTTGCCACAAATATTTTTTATAATTTAATCCGCTTTGTGACAAAATTTTTCGTCATGTTTCCAGCTTGCGCTTACAGTTTAAAGCATTGTATTGCATACTTTAATTCCATATTTAATATATAGCTTTTTCTCATAACATTTGGAAACTGCAGTGAACCAAAAATCCTAAGAATTTCGTGTTAAATTTTTATTTTATTTGGAGTTGAGTTTATAAAATGTATTTTATTAAAAAAAATCTGTAATGTTTTCGTGCATAATTTTTTTTAATATTAAAATATTCATCAGATTTTTGATTCAGTTAGAAAATAGTGCCCATATAAAGAATTCAATCCAATTTCAAGTATGTACCATTAACCATTTTTAAAATATCATGCGCGCAAGGTGGAAACATGACGAAACATTTTGTCACAAAGCGGATTAAATTATAAAAGTATTTGTGGCAACATAAACTTTCTGGTTACTCGTTCCCAAAGCAGCTGTATTATGTAGTGAGCTGTAAAAAGTTTGAAATAATTGCTTTTAAAAGAAATAAAATATCCCAATTCTTGGAACAGTCACACATTCAAAATTCAGAAGGGATTTAAGGTGTATGAGCCCCCTTAAATGGCGACTGGGGATTATTTTTGACAAATCACCTAATTATAAATGAAAATTTCTGAATGTTGCTTTGTTTTATTTACATTGGCAAAGACCTAAATATTTCTCAAAAGAGTGTTAACTATGTTTTTTAACATTATTAGGCGCTTTAACGAGAGAGATAGTGTTAGTATAAGCTCGGTGTAATGATTCAGTGTTATCATTTATGTATTGTACTTCCATAAAACATAAATGTTGGAAAAGGAGAGATTACAAACATGGGCAACATAAATTCAGCATTTCCGGTTATAAAAGTAAAGAAGAGGATAAC